CAGAGGCTACTATAGTCGTTCAATCAAAATAAAATCTACTTTTGCATGGTATTTTATCATTTACATGTGTATCACTGACAGAATTCCTAGCTGGAACTGCATTAAATCTAGGAGCTTTTTTTCTCTTACTTGCTATGGGTAAAAACATTTTATTTAGCTGCCAAAAAGACAACATTTGAAGCTCTGAAAAACTGTCCACTTGATCTTTCAAATAAGTTTTCTTTGTTAGTACCAACTTCAAAAATTGAACATCGGATCAATCATCCAACTCCGACGATCAAAAACTCCAAAATATATTAAAGATTTTCGGACGAAGGATTCAGCTAGAATTTCAAGAATGCTACAAAAATCTCGGTGAAAATCTGCATCTTTAGATGCATATTCCAGAATTTTAGGTGAAATATTTGGGATAAGCAGTTCTAAAATAAAAAATGAAAACACCGAAGAAAGCCGTTTATATTAGACCTTTGCAATTCTTATTTTTCTTTTATTTTAAACAATCTTGCTGCTTTCTGACAAAAGCCAAAAGGACAAGCGATAACTCTACCTGTCATACATCAAAGAAACGTGTGATTTCCACATCTTGAGGCATCTCAATGCAAAATAAAAAGATATTTTTTATGGTGACCTACACACGTTCATCGATTATGAATTGTTAGAGCTGAGTTTATGTCATTTATGGAGAATGACTAACAATGGAGGTGTTTCAAGTGATAAGCGAAAAACCAGGATTTATTAGCATCAAATGAAAGCTCTCAGTGCCAAACTAACAGGGTTAAAATATTAGCGGCCCTTGGTTTGTCTACAGGGAGATAATCGATTTTTACGATTCTAGCAATCTGAGCATATAATAGAAACAGTATAATTATTTATATTAGTTTTGTGGAATCAAATGAGTATTTTAATAGTAAGCTATAAGAATGTTTCTGAAATTTATCAATTGCATTAAGATCACATTAATTTCAGTATCGTCTAAAGTCGAGACATTATCGAGATAAAAGAAAAAAAAAATGATATGTCTGAAGCATGACCTGTATATTTAATATTTGAATTTAAAGTGCATTAATGCATCACTTGGCATTTAAACTGATAATCTCTGTTCGATTGGTGTTAAGATATCACAAAGAAATATAACCATTACCTAATAATTATTCTTGTTTTGTTTACTGCTATATCTAATATATAACAAGGTTTATTTCACAATATTAAAATATGAATTTATTGAATATTGTTAAACATATTCTTCACTTGACTGAAAATGAATATGATTCAGAAAATTCTCCAACAACAACGGATGATATTTTTGCTGCAGAACGGATATTCGAAGTTTTAAAATCTATAAATGTCAGCTACTTCACTGAACTGTATGCGTATGACACTCTCGATTTCGACGATGAATATGATGAAATGACTGACGAAGAATCGAGTAATGATGACATTAATGACTACAATGAAAACGAACATTCCGATATAAATGATCATTTTACATTAGAAGAAATGCAACGTATAGTCGAATGGGTTGACGAACATCCGAATGCTAGACTTGCAACCATTTCACATAGATTTAAAAAGGTCAAATACATGTATTATATTACAAGGTTTCGACAGTATATCGAGAACAACGGCACAAGATTAGAAAAATTAAAACAAATTAAAGAGTTTATGTTTAATGAATTTTATCTAAAAAGAGCAGTTGAAAAAGAATCCGTTCATGATGCTGACCTAGAATTATATGCTATTCAAAAAGCAAGAGAATTAAATTTGGATACTTTCGAGGCAAGCAAATCATTTATCAACACGTTTAAAAAGGAAAACAGAATATCATCAAGAAGATACAACAAAATTATTACTCGAACTAAGACAAATAGAAAAAATTGTAGTTTAAATGGTACATAAACTTATTAGGTCTTTAAATTCACATATCTTAATGTAATATAGGCATATTTTTTAGATGCTCACAATTGGATTGACAGTAAAAGAACTTTAATAGCAAAGTATCCTTCTCATCAAATTTTAAATAGCGATCACTGTTCATTTCAACAAGAATATATTCCACCAAGAACTCTTTCTTTTACTGGTGAAAGAACAACTGAAGTAGTTGTTAAAAAGAAATATAATATCACACATTCTTATACAATTCAGCCGGTAACATCAGCTAACAGTCTTTTATTAGACAAGTTTTTACTTATACTTCAAGAAAAAGAAAACACACTAGGTAAAAGAGTACAAAAAAATTTAATAATACCACCAAATGTTGTAGTAAGAGCTTCAAAATCAGGAAAAAGCAATGACGAAAATCATCATGTCTTTTTAAATGAAGTTCTACGTCCATTTGTTGATAAAAAATTTCTTCTTTTCCTTGATTCTTGGAAAACTCAAGCTGATCTAACAAAATTTAGAGCAGTATTTCCTCATCAAGACAGTCAATTATTGATTTTTCCTGAAGGATCGACCGGTTATATTCAACCGCAGGACCTTTCCTTATTTCGATCATGGCGATTTATTCATGAAAAAATCGAACATTATACTCATATTAACCGAACAGAAACAACTATAAGTGATCGTCAATATTTTATCAACATACATTCTGTTATTCATAATCAATTATCAGCTCCACCATTTAAGAATCTCATTAAGAGTGGATTCATACAAGCTCAAATAACAAATGAAACAATTGGACAGATTGAAAAACCAAAAGACATTTGTTTCAAGTATTATGATCTGTATTGTTCAATTA